CGGCAGGTCGGCAAGCGAGCGGTCGCTTTCACGACTAGCTTCGTAGCCGAGGTTAAACGTTCGGTCAGGCATGCGTGTCAACCTAGCTCGAGGGGGTCCAAAAACGGCAACCGAGGGATTCGAGGGATTCGATTAATAAAAAGCGACGAACACCACGCCGATCTCCGCGCGGCATCAGCGTTGGATCGCTCGCTCGAGAAGCGAAAAACGAGAAAAACGAGAGCGGTAGCGGGGGAAGGGCCGCGGAATTGCGGAGAGAAGGGAGAACTGACATGCTACGATGGGCCTGAAAACGAAAATAACGAAACGAAACAATGTCGTGCTGACGTAACCGTGAACTAGGGCGGAAACAATTGTGGCGGACAAGTGCGAAGCACCGGAAGCGGCGTCTCGAGGCGGCACGGTGATCGGAACGAGAAAGGGGGGCCTCGCACGTGCGTCCGCCGGGGTTCCCTCTTCTCTTTTTTTTTTTTCTCGTTGAAAAATCTCTTAACGATTGTGATTAAAATCCTTCGCGCGTAGAATTAGAGACGCCATAAAAGTATTCCGAAAAGGTGTGCGAAGGATAAGAATAGAATTAAAAGAAAATTAAAAAAAGAAATTTATTTCAAAAAATAATAAATTTTTGCTCGTTAGCCACAGCCGTTGTTCTTTAAGCATATTTAATATTTGACGATGATTAAAAAGAATTGCGAGATAACGCGCCACAAATCAAATTTCTTAAATTCATTAATTTTTTTCTCGCGAATATATTAAAACAAACTTCCCAAAGACTCAATAATGATCGTCCAAAGCTGGTGCTACGAAACGAGCGTGTCGTGGCTTTCAAGTAGGGCCGTTTGCATAACTTCAGCGTGCACAACGAATGAAGGGGGCGTGCGGCCGGGAAGAGGGGGCACGTAATAACGGTAGCATTTTCACAATTGTGTCATCGCTTCTGAAGCGTCGCGCGTTCCTTTTCTTACTCGCGTAAGCGACGTCGGCAAGAAGGTGGAGGACAAACGGCGACGTCGACGGCGAAAATAAGTGGAACGCGATGCCGGCCCATAGGTCTCGGCAATGCGCGCATCGGGACCACCAGGCCGCAGGAAGAGCTCGTTTCCAGGACAAACGAACCAGAAACGATTAATAATATAGCGTGCGTACGGGCAGAAAAAGCGAAAGTGGACAACGCGGTCGCGCGGGCGTCCCTTTAAATGCTCGACGATTCGCGATGTGACAGTCCGTTGTGCGCCGAGCGACATATTAATCGCGACGATTGAGAAATTCTAGATGTCAATTCAACCGAAACTGTTGTCTCGCAACGATCCGATTGTAAAAGAAGCAACATTTCGCAATATACGTTTGAAACTATTGTAAAACGATTATTTAAGATTTTATCAAAATAATTGATATATACTAATTCCATGAAACCTTCTCTGTACAAAAATCGTGGCAAATTATTTTAAAATTTATTTTAAAATAATGAAAATAAAATTAGGTCCATTTATATCTCAGTCGAAATATGTATGATATTATGTAAAACGGTAAGATAATTTTATACGTATTTTCTCCTGCGGGAAAGAGAAAGAAGCATATAGACACATTGTTGCTCGCGACACGAAAGCAACGAGCACGGTGTCGGAATCACGTGGAATTGCACCATTTGGGCAATTAGCACGAGAACAACAGGCCGCACGCGCCTCCGACCGTCGACCTCACCGCACCTCCCCCACCCCTGGCACTCGCACGCCATGAATGAGACAACGAGAGCGTACGGTTACACGCTAACAACTCCGACGTTACGTACCTGTTACAAGTGTTACAATGCCGTTGCAGTATCGTGCCGCTGGTTTCCAAGCCTTTCGTCTCTCGTCACCGTCTTCGCTGAAACGTGGCTCACATGATGATTCCACGATACCGATTCGACAACGAGTCGTTAGTAACTGATATTGTCTTTAACAGAAACAGCGCGAATGTACCTGTAAAAAATATACAATAACAAAAATTGAAACAAATATATTTTTAATAAAAATTACGTGGCGGTTAATATTATATAATTTAGCTGATTAATATAATCGTCTTGATGAAAGAGATATCTCGTTACCACCTTCCCCCCC